TCTGCAAGCTAAATCTGCTCTGATAAAAACATACAATTTATTGTTTCGTCCCTAATTTGTAGTGCACCCTAGATAGACAATGTCCTTAGCATCTACCCATACTGCCATGGGCCAGCTCTGCCTAAAACTAGCAATTCCTATGAATTTACTTCCTTTTGCACATTAGACAGGCCTTTTCTCTGTTTTAAAATCTTAAAACTCACCTCTTCACACTTTACATTTGTTGTTTTTAAACATATTTTTTATGTTGATTTCTGTTGTCTTTATTGATGTGTACAGCACTTTTGTTGTGTGTGGTCATTTTAAGCCCTTCCCGTTTCTGGGTTTGTTTTGCCCTTATTTACCGTCTGTGTCAAATCGTGCTTTTTGTTTCCAGTGTGTCTCCTTCTGTTCCTTGTTAACGTCTCTGTACGTGTTCCAGCTCAGTTTGCTTCCCTGTGCTCAGCAAGCCTGTTGTTTGTTATGTTTTCCGGCTTCCTGCTGGTGTTTCAGCTGTTTTTTTTAACTCAAAGTTCAAAGTTTTATCTCTTAGATATAAGAACTTCCTGTCAGTTTATTTCCACTTTCTCTTTGTCACTTACATTTGAACTAAATCCTTCCCTAAACTCAARAATAACAAAACAGCTTTTGCAACATTTGCACCATCTTTGTAATTGCTTCAAGGTAAAATTACTTATGTAAATAAGTTTTGTTAGGAATGAACTGTGGTTTAAAAAAATCGCATTTATATACCCTTATTGTGACTTTTCATTCTGACTGCAGGCTGCTTTTTGATGCACTTAGTTGCAAAGATCTTAAACTAACATCACTTAAAGCAAAATGATTAATTTTAAAATGCAGAGAATGCATGTTTCTAGTATTAGTTAGTCTGTATTTCACATAGATAAAGTAGTTTTTTAGTACGAGCCACACAACTTAACAATTTAACACAAAAGGAAACAGGAAAAAAAAAAGGAAACAAACCCTCCAAGTGCAAAGCTGCTCTTTCCTCTGAGCCCATATACTGTATTATTTCAGGAGCTTTTCATCCAGATGTCAAATATTTGAACAGAAAACATTCCACACGAGATGAATTCTGACTTTTATTACTGTATTTTACCAGAAACATAAAACTCATTTACCTCATGCTTTGCCAGTTACAGTTACAGTTACAAGTGGGAGTTTTTTATGCATAAATCCACAGAACTGACCTTTTCAGCTTCTTACATGTAAACATTTATATCGATTTTAAAATGGCACAAAAGTAAATAACAACATCTCTTATTAGCTTTCAAAACAAGCCAAAAAAAAAGAGAGAAAATGGAATAAAAAAAGGGTAAAAAATTGAGAAAATTTTTGTAAAATGATACATAAAACCTAACGGACTACTTCGAGCTCATTTATTCACTTTCTTGAGAAGAAAATCTGCTCTAAACTAACGAGCAAACAGGAATTTTTTACATAAATCTGCAACATTTCCAGCTTTAGTCAGAGCTGCCGTTTGATTCGTTGATGCACCAAATAACAACAGCAGACAGCAATTTATTTTCTGCAAAAAAAAAAAACCCTTAGTATTAAAGGATATAAACTGCAGCAAAAACATTGGGAATATATAGGAT